TTTTGGGTGAAAGTTTACAGAGCAAATACATTTTCCATACAGCAGTTCATACATATTTTGTTTCATGACACTGATTGCAATCCCTGTAATGTAAGAGCTCTCCTCCCACTTCCTCCCTGTGGTTACCTTTTGGTTTCCTTTCCTATGCATTCCTGCCCTTGAGCTGTCCCTCTGTGCAAATACTGTTTTGATCTCCCATGGTTGGTTGTTCTAAGGACTGACCTATCTATCTGCCTTATATGCCTGTCAGTTTGACTGGAAGCTACAGGAATAAGTTCAATTCTAGGTGACTAGGGAGCTCTGGTGGTATAGTAGCATTTGACTGCTAACCAGAAGTCTGGTATAACCTGCCAGCCACTTCTTGAAAAGAAGGCTGGGCAATCTACTTCCATAGAGATACCGCCTCGGAAACCCAAGGAGGGGTTGCTATGAGTTGAAATTGACTTGACGGCAGTGAGGGAGGTTTTTTTTTTTTTTTGGAGGCCATAGTCTTGGGGGTTTTACCAATCTCTGTTAGACCAGTAAGCCTAATCCTTTTTATGATTTTGAATTTTGTTGTACATTTTCTCCCACTCTACCAGGATCTCCTGTACTGATCCCTTTCTAAGTGCTTGATGTTAGTAGCTGGGCACTACCTAGTTCTTCTGGTCTCATGGTCATATAGGCTGAGGTTCACATGGTCCACCGGTCCCTTGGACTAATTGTTTCCATGTGTCTTTGGTTTCTTCACGCTTCATTGCTCTAGATGAGGGCGACCAATTGTTGCATCTAGATGGCCGCTTGCAAGCTTTTAGGAGCCTGGTGGCTACTCACCAAAGTAGGATGTAGAACAATGTTTTTGTGTAGTTTGTTGTACCAATTGGAAGCTCCATCACTCTTGTTTGTTCTTTTCTCTTGCAGGTCTGGCGTGTGCCTGATCAGAATTACTCTGATCTGAAGAATTTGGTGTTTAAAGCATTAAGATAATAGCCTTCAGTTGTTCATGGTAATTATAACTTTGGATATTGAAAGTTGAGATTATGACTTGGTGTTTGCTTTAAAATACATATCTCATTTCTGATTATGCACCATGAGTTCTGTTTTTTTTAGGAAAATTTTATTCTTCCCATATTTATACTTTGTTGAATTCTCATATTTTTTTGTTGAATGAAAGGAAAGCAATGCTTTATAAAAGAAAAAATAGAGACCACATTATTTTTAAAAGATTACTTCTTTAATATGGCAACAGATGATTTTTGTGCCAGTTCTAAATCTCTTTTACTTATAAAGTACTTGTGGCACTTGTCTAGTACATCCAATCTTGATGACACTTTTCTCTGGATGGCAGATAGATTGGCATCCAAAGGGAATGAAACCACTCTTCACTGTTTTCCCAGATGTCATCTAATTCTCCAAGGGTCACGTTAAACCTTAACCCTGTTGTTTAGAAGTGGCTCCGAACAGGTGTGGAAAAACTAGAAGACAACTCTGAATGGACTATTGACAATAGTGTCCTTCTCCAGTTCGGCCACAGTGATTTGTCCCCTCTTTCAAGGGGTAGTGGTGGTTCCGTTGTAGAATTCCCACCTTCCATGCGGGAGACCTGGGTTTGATTCCTAGCCAGGGCACCTAGTGTACAGTCACCACTCATCTGTTAGTAGAAGCTTGTGTGTTTCAGCAGAGCTTCCAAATTAAGATGGACTAGGAAGGAAGTCCATTAGTGATCTGCTTCTGAAAATCCAGTGAAACCCCTGTGGATCGTGACAGTCTGGTCTGCAATTGATAATGGAGGTAGCACAAGACCAGACAGCATTTTGTTCCCTTGTGCACGGGCTTGCCATCTCAATGGCAGCTGACCACAGCAGTCAAGGAATTGTAACTCTGAACAATAGTAGTATTTTACTTAGTTGTCATCCATGCCTGGAATTAAAGTAGACACAGTAGACAGGATTAGAGAATATTTGCCTTGTGTCTGTTTCTTAAACCTTGAAATTGAGCTGTTTGTCATTATTATCTCGAGTTGTCAGGAAGCAGAGGCCATGAAGCTGGATTGCTTGGATTCAACTCCTAGCTCCTTGACACAGTTGAGTATTGGGCAAATTCCTAACCTCACCTTTAAAGTAGGGATAGTAATACATCCCCTTCCTCTGTCCCCAGTAAGATTTAATTAAGACACATAAAGCATATAGAACAACACCTGGCATGTGTTATGTGCTCAGTAAGAGTTACTATTATAATCATTACTAGTAGTAACCAGTCAAATCACTTCTGACTCATGGCAACCATTTGTATCAGTAGAACCGTGCTCCACAGGGTTTTTAGTGGCTGATGATTTGGGAGTAGATTGCCTGGCCCTTCTTCTGAGGCACCTCTGGGTGGACTAAACCCCCAGCCTTTTGGTTAACAGCCGAACACTAACCGATTTCATACCCAGAGACTCCACCACTGCTCTTCCTGCTCCTCCTACCCCTATTACTACCGCTGCTGGACAAATACTTAGTAAACTGAAGGTAAATAGAAGTAACAATATGGAAGTTAATAAATTGGGGTCAGTCTTTTCTATTCATACACTTGAACCAGACTCTTAACATTGATTTTCTGAGATCTTTAGGTACCAAAATTGATCAGAAAATGAAAATAAATCTTGCTTTATTTTCTGTATAGGAAAGTATTATTCATAATTACCAAACTTTTGTTTTTTAAAAATTTTTATAGGAGTTTTTCATCAGTATGTCTGAAACCATTAAATACAATGACGATGATCATAAAACTCTATTTCTGAAAACACTAAACGAACAACGTCTGGAAGGAGAGTTTTGTGATATTGCTATCGTGGTTGAAGATGTGAAATTCAGAGCACATAGATGTGTCCTTGCTGCCTGCAGCACCTACTTCAAAAAGCTCTTCAAGAAGCTCGAGGTTGATAGCTCTTCAGTAATAGAAATAGATTTTCTTCGTTCTGATATATTTGAAGAGGTCCTGAACTACATGTACACAGCAAAGATTTCCGTCAAAAAAGAAGATGTCAACTTAATGATGTCATCGGGTCAGATTCTTGGCATCCGATTTTTGGATAAACTTTGTTCTCAAAAGCGTGATGTATCTAGTCCTGACGAAAATAATGGTCAATCCAAAAGTAAGTATTGCCTCAAAATAAACCGCCCCATGGGTGATGCCGGTGACACTCAGGATGATGATGTGGAGGAAATTGGAGATCAGGATGACAGTCCTTCTGACGGCACAGTAGAAGGCACCCCCCCGAGCCAGGAGGATGGCAAGTCACCCACAACTACGCTCAGGGTTCAGGAAGCTATTTTGAAAGAGCTGGGGAGTGAGGAAGTTCGAAAAGTAAATTGCTACGGTCAGGAAGTAGAATCCATGGAGACCCCAGAATCAAAAGATTTAGGGTCCCAGACCCCTCAAGCCTTAACTTTTAATGATGGGATGAGTGAAGTGAAAGATGAACAGACCCCGGGCTGGACAACAGCTGCCAGTGACATGAAGTTTGAGTATTTGCTTTATGGACACCACCGTGAGCAGATTGCCTGCCAAGCCTGTGGCAAGACGTTTTCTGATGAAGGCAGATTGAGGAAGCATGAAAAACTCCACACAGCAGATAGGCCATTTGTTTGTGAAATGTGCACAAAAGGTTTCACCACGCAGGCCCACCTGAAAGAACACTTAAAAATCCACACAGGATATAAGCCCTACAGTTGCGAAGTATGCGGAAAATCATTTATTCGCGCCCCAGACCTAAAGAAGCATGAGCGAGTCCACAGTAACGAAAGACCTTTTGCATGCCACATGTGTGACAAAGCCTTCAAACACAAGTCCCACCTCAAGGATCATGAGAGGAGACACAGAGGTGAAAAGCCTTTTGTTTGTGGTTCCTGCACCAAGGCCTTTGCCAAGGCCTCTGATCTGAAAAGGCACGAGAACAATATGCACAGTGAAAGGAAGCAAGTTACCCCCAGTGCCATCCAGAGTGAGACAGAACAGTTGCAGGCGGCAGCAATGGCTGCCGAAGCTGAGCAGCAGCTGGAAACAATAGCCTGTAGCTAGAGGTGATGGAACAGGAGCTCTCTGCCTGGGAGGAGGAGACTGAGAGGACATGGAGCCTAATCAATGAATGCTAGTCCCTTTCTTTTTGTGAAAACTTATGGGGCATTGTACTCACTGGAGTCAAGGCAGTGCTTGGCTAGGTATTTTTAAAACTTTTCCAGGAAATACGTTCCTAGGTTCTGACCAAACCATTTCACTGTCCAGCCTGGTGTCTAGTATTAATGTTGCCAGTAAGTCCCATCCTTTCCTACCCACCTTTTTTTGTGATTTTGAACTCCAGTGTCTCATTTAGAACTTAGAGACTTCTATTCCACTTTTAACTACTCTCTTGCTGCACTGGTAAGTGTGCTGTACAGAATCATAATTGAGTAAATTGATTTCTTAATCATCACACCAATATGTGACTTATGGTCAAAACAGCAATTTTAATAACAAAAATACTTCATGTAGATGCAGAAAATATTGGTGATTGGTTGACACCAAGATTACTGCGCAAATATGAAAATAAGTCCTGAAAATCTAGAATGGTATTACATTTATATTTAATTTGTTAATTTTATATCACTGTTTTTCACTGTTTTGGGGGACGAATAATGGTTGCTTTGCTGAAGTGTTTCTTCATTTGGATTGCCCCATACCTGCTTCAAAAGATGTAGTCATATGTACCGAAGGTTGAGCAAACCCCCCAGATATTGCTGGTCTTGGGGCCAAGTTCTTACGTTTCCCATCTTTCGGGCATTGCTACTTTGGCAACAGAATGGGGTTTGTTCAGGGGAGCAGCAGTGAGAAGAATAGCAAAGGGTAAATAAGAGCCTGCCTTTAGGGATAAGCTTGCCACATTTGCAGCAATCTCAAGATTTATAGATCAAAATAATTGTTACTTGATTTTGAAGTTGGATTTTTTATTAAAATCAGAATTAGGATAAGCACAGGTATGTTTCTTCAGATACATATGTATAAGTTAACAGAAAGTAATCAAGCTTTTGGGCTCTCTGCAGCAGCTGATATATCCATAAAAGAGATGCAATATGCTTAACTTAAGTGTGTAAATAGTATAGAACTGTTGGTCTTATGTGTTTCAAGTAAAAGTAGACAGCTGCACTTTTTTTTTTGCACATTGGGTTAAAATAACTTCATTCAGCAACAAACATCAGATTGTTTTAACCAATATTAAAGATTGTCAGACCAAATGTTTATGTTTTTGAATTATATTTCATCACAGGTCACAGTTTTAAATAGAAGTTGATTGCCTTTTCCTAGCCACAAATCAGAATTACAAATTTTGATATAATTCTGGTGTACTGAATGTTCCTTTTAACTATTTCTTTAGAATATATTGAATGCTAATAATAATTTGAATTATGTTCTATAATAAAGTACTAATCTGTTATTTTAGAATATGTACAATTTTAGAAAACTGTCAACTTTCAATTAAGTTTTTTGTTGCTAGGATTTTTTTTTTTTTTTAAGATACATTAAAGTAATTTCATTTCATAGCTTGTTGCATTTATACCTGTAATTACTATTGTGGGAGAAATTTTGTTTTTCAATTGGTATATATGTTATGCCCAAGAGTGTAGGATGAAGATGCTAGCTTCTAAAGAATTTATTTATTGGTAAAATGTTTAATTTACTTTAATTTAATTTCTTTTTTCAAAAGTTGTTTTTTCTGTATGAAAAATAGTCCTGTCACTGTGTTTATATGCTGTTAGTGGAAGGGGAACTGGTTGATGTTCCTAGGCTGTTTTAACCAAAGCAAGGGAAAAATAATTTAACATCCTGTCAATAGCTACTTCAACAAACCAATTTTGGGCCTTCATTTTTGTATATAAAAGAAAATACACTTACATCATTCCTGTTTTCATTTTTTCATAGCAACCTTTCATGCATCTATGTTTCTCCAGAATGTAATTTCTAAACTTTGTTCATCATAGTTTAATAGAGTTCCAAGGTAAGAATGTGGTTATGACAATTGAAATCACACAATCATGGTGGTACCCCCCAAAAGGAAGCTTACTTTTCAACGCTTTCTTTGTATTATGCAGATATTTATCTGTTGGTGTATTTTGCATGACAAGTATTTTTGTGTTACAACTTCTAACCCTCACTGCTAAGTACCTATGTGTTTGTTAGGGTTCATGTCCTTTTTGCTTGTTGGTGGCAGCAAAGTCCTAACATGGCTGCTTTGCTGCTTGCTGGCCCCTAGTTGCCAAGATGGCCTCTCTTCTGTCTCAGTGGCCTTTAATAACCCTGGGCTGCTGGAGCCAGCTTGGTAGATTCTTCAAGGGTATCTCCAGCACCATGAAAAATTAACTTCTGGAATGTGCCTACACTGAGACTGTGAGTGAGATGGAAGGACATTTTAAGTGCAAATATTACTATCTTTTCATTATTTCAAGTCTTCTACTTTTTTTTCTGTTTGTACAAAGAGAAGGTCCACAGCTTGATACTGACTTTTAGGGTTTTGTAATCCCTCTAAATCTAAAACTTGCACTGTTTTAGATCTGATTTAGGAAAAGAATTTTAGGATAATTTCAGCAAATTTGCCTGCTAATGAACTTAACCACTAATTTAGAATTGCTGGAAGTTATTGAGGTCACTATCACATGGGCCTGATACTTCCTTTTGTTTTGTTGAGGGGTAGGGAGATTATGACGAGGCAAGATGATGAAAATTTATGGAGTTTCCAACTTAATGGATTATGTTGTGTAATGTTATCTGTAACTCAGTCATATGGAATTCATTTTCCTGTAGTAATGCTGTCAGTGGTGAGTAGCTCCCAGAGTAGCCATTAAAAGCCTACTGTATAAGGGTAACAGAACTAATATAAGGGTTATAGATGAATTCTGAGTCATAAGAGTCAGCCATGGCTTTCAGAAGAGAATGGAGAGCTCTCTCACTTTCCTCTCTACTTTTTACATTTCCCTCCCCTTCTGCAGTACCTGCCCCAAGAAATGTATGGGAGAGAAGTAAGATACCAGGTTGGAAACAGGGTAACCATTTGCAATGATCACAGTCAGAGATGGGGGTCTAAATAAATTCTCATGCTTCCTTCTAATACTTAACCAACATCAATAAGCATTGTCACAGATAGCTCACTCCCTACCAGACTGTGTGTTTCATCATGAGATAGTCCCAATCACAATATTCATTTAGGTCTTTTCATTATATCAAAGAGGATGTATGGTTTAGTGGAAAGAGTTTTGAAGTAAAACTTGGATTTGAGTCCTGGTTCTGCTGCTCAAATAACATGTACATTTGGGCAGGCAAGTTCTTAACTTCCCTGAGCCTTAATTTCGTCTCTAAAGTAGTAGGGATTTTTCATGGAATGCTGTGGAGATTAAATGTGATCACGATATCCAGTACAAAGCATTCAGCTCAGCACCCAGCACTATTTAGTTGCCACAAATAGGTGCTTCCTCCTAAACAGCCTTCTCAGCAGAGAAGGGAAATTGAAGTTCCATTTTGACTCTGACACCTCTCAGCAATATAATCATTGGCCATGAGCTGTAGACCTTGTTTGGCTTCTTAATTGAAAATATCTACAGAAACTGTTCATATCAGCATGTATGTAAGCTTCCATCCCTTTGGGGCTTTGTTCTTATGAACCTGGGTAGTCATTTTACTATTTCCTTTGGTTTTGTAATCCCTCATTTGTACATGTTTCTAAGTAGGTCATTGGAGTGTAGTCAAGTGTAAATACTGGCTTCTGTAGATGACTCCCTGTTTTTCCTTGAGATTATTTGTGATGGCAGTCAGAATTACAGTTTTGAGAGCTGACATTTTTCTTTTGAGTCTCTAGACTGGACATGAAATCATGCATTTATTTGGAATATTTTCACATGATTTTTGAAAAAGAGTGTATTTCAGACTACACCCAGCCTTTCCCTTTTGGGTTTGTATGAATTCTAGGGTTATCTGTTGCTTTCTTCCCAAAGGGACTTAGACTACTACCCAAGAACTTGATTTTCATTTTAGTTCTAAAGTTAACAGTTTACTTAATCACTTTGTTGTTGTTTAGAGGGTATTTCCATTAATCTTACATAAAAGTATTTTCTGTAGAGTAGGATCAAAGTATTATTGATAAACAAATATGTGTTGAGTACTTTCATTGTGCCAGACATTGGATTATGTGCTGGGGCTGTGATGGTGGTCAAGCATTCTTCCCTTGCTGAGCTGATCACATAGGATGTTGTTAAAAGATAACCTTCCCAAGGTTTACAAACATTTACAAAGGTTTACAAATAATTTAATGATCATACATATGCAAAATGTTGTTTTATTTATTTATTTTTAAAAATCTTCTGTGGTATGTATTTTAATCCAGTTGATAGAACATACTTTAGAACATAATTAAGGATTTTCACAAATAGTCATGAAGTTTAGTGGTACCAAAATAAACATTCTCAAATAACTTTTTTGAATGTGTACTGAGAAAATATATTCATTAAATATTACCATTTCTATAGAATGGTTCTCATTTTCTGTCATTGATGCTGAATTTCAGAAAGAATGTTAATGTGAGACTTGTTAGGTGCGATCGAGTTGTCTCTGATTCATAGAAACCTTGTGTACAACAGAATGAAGCACAGCCTGGGCCTGTGCCATCAGTCCTGGCTGTGCTTGAGCCCATCGCTGCAGCCACTGTGTCACTCCATCTCACTGACGGTCATCCCCTTTCTCGCTGACCCTCCACTCTACCAAGCATGATATCCTTCTCCAGGAACTGGTCCCTTCTGACAACGTGACCAAAGTCGTTAAGACTTCTGGCCATTCTCACTTCTAAGGAACATTCCAGCTGCATTTCTTCCAGGACAGATTTGTTCATTTTCTGGCAGTACATGGTATTTTCAGTATTTTTCGCTAACACCACAATTCAAAGGCATCAGTTCTCCTAAGGTTCTGTGTATTTCTTAAAAATAATAGGTCCTGGCATCTAGAAAGGGTACTAATGCAGAGAAAATTAGAGGAGTAAAAGAATGATAACCTGGGCTTCCAGCAGCTTTCAACAAGGATATTAATAACTCAGAAGGTTTTAAGGTGAGGATGCACCATAAGACAAGACAAGGCACGCTCAGCAGCAGCTCAGAAATGACAGCACCCTTCTGAGAGGCAGTAAATATTCCCTTAGTGCCCACTGACCCATGAAGGATGATATCTGTATAGAGTAGGTCTATGTAATCTACTATATACATACATACATAGATTTATTTTAAGAAATTGATTCACGTGACTGAGGGCTGGCAAATCAAATCTGTAGGTCAGAGGCCAACAAGCTGGAAACAGGCTGGAGTTGATGCTGTAGTCCTGCAGAATTTCTTCTTTGTGAAACCTCAGTTTTTACCCTTAAGGCCTTCAGCTCTTTGGATAAAGTGTATCCATGTTTTTGAGGGTACACAGCAACACAGACTAGTTTTTGACCAAACAACTGACCTAGCCAAGT